ACAATATACAAATACATCATTATCAACACCATGGAAAATATGTAAGAAAAACAAACTGTACCAATTCTCAGCTGGGGAGAGGAAATCTTAGCAGCTATTTCAGCTCCAGCTGCAAGAAGAAATACACAATTTGGCTTCTTTTTTTTCTTATTATTCTTATATATTTCTAATCATATATATATATTTAAGTCAGGCTTTGAGTATTTTTGGAAAGGAAGCACACAGCCTTTCTCATACCAAATCCTGTTTGAAATCTCAGAGTCTAAGAAAATTATGGACAATAAAATGGCTTTTCATCACACACACAACCAGAATATAAGACTCACACACAGCTTTGTTGTCACTGGCAAGAAAAGCCAGTGTTCAGACATGGTTTGGCCGCAGCTGTTTGTGATGATCCAGACAACAACTGCTGGTCCGATTCTCTACCCAGTGGAGTTAGACTGTGAGAGGAGGAGAGGATCAGGCCTAACTACATTTTGGCCTGGTTTACTAAAAATCAAGAGTTGTGTATCGTAGCAACTGCCTGTCTGCTTGTCATTACTGCCAGTAAGGGAGGAGTCTGTTGACCAGCTACACCCAGCTGAGCAGCGGGCAGAGTTTTGAGGATGTGAAGTTTCTGCAAGTTCCACAGAAGCTGGCAGCGGAGCAGAGGGAGGAGACCCAAGTCCAAACCTCAGCGCAGAGGGCAGGTCTCGCTGGTCTGGACCTGAAGGGAACAGCCAGGTGGCTGGGATGGACGCTGGTCAAGAGTAAGGGCACAATGCTCAACCACAAGTGCTGCTACAGCATCCATTACCTTGGGCCTTGTCACTTCTACAACTGAAACTTAGTGGCAGCCACTACTTTTAAACAACTTTCTGGTCACTATATCATCTCCAGACAACACTGAAATGAAATCTGTATTTGGAAACTATGATTTTTGGCCCATCTACCTGAAAAAGATGGTGTCAAAGACCTACATACAGAATAACTATACCTTGGTGTACACATTAGTCTTGCTGGACATCACCAAATCATATTCTAAACTGTACATGGAGAGTCATTCCCTTAATTATCACCTTGCTTGACAGAAATATGCTAACTGAAAGCCAATCCTGTCTACTATTAAAAAAAACAAAAGTCATCAAACCCAATTTTGTTTCATCAGCAAAGCCAGAAGGTTGCTTCTTGTTGGCTGCTCTCAGACTTGTCAGCAGCCTGATATGTTGTTGAACGTCTTAAACATTGAACATTTGCTTGAGAAAGCAAACCCCACAGTGTGGCACTGTCTGACAGACATTTGCACCACAGACACCAAGCAGGCACTGGTTACTCCCCAGCAGCAGCTGCAGTGGCCGTGGCATGGTCTGAGTTTGGAACGTGGAGGCAGAAACAAGCAGCTGCAGGAAGGTTAAAGACACAGTTATTGGTTGTGGGCTGCCTTCTCAGGTTCAGGAGTGTCCAAGGACAGCTGTGATACAATCAGCTCCCAAAGACCGCCAAGACCAGAGTGCTGTGCCACTGCTGCATGCAGCCATGGGGCAGAGAGCTACTTGCCACCCTCAAGACATTCATGGTGCAGGAGTGACTCAAACTTTGGTCCAACAGCATAAAATAAGATTTGGGAAAAAATAATAATAAAATAAATTTGTTTCAAAGGCAAAGTAGGGAGAATTGTTATAATCCAGTCCATACCTTTGCAGTTGTCATGATAAGATGATGACCTGGGAGAGAGGAGACACTTCTGCAGCAATCCTCTTCCCTGCTTCAGCTCTATGACTGCCTCATGGGAAGCCACCACTGACACTTATGGAGGCACAGCAGAACGTAAGGGGTCGAATGCTTTGCTGTCTCCTGGAGAGTCCCCAATTTTTGCATACATGCTAAAATTTAGCATTTGAATTCAACACGTGGGAAATCAAATAGCTCGCACTTTACAGGGAGTTACTGAGGCACCAGGGGATGTAGCACTAGCACACTCATCCTGCACACAGCAGAGGTAGGAAATGGACTGACAATACCTGATTTTCCAGCTTCATTTCAAACAGAGACTTCCCACTGCCATTTCACCGCTAGAATGAGATTTCTCCAAAGAAACTCCAAAGTGCAGGTTTGCATCTTTCCATCCATCAGCAATGTCACAAATCATAGTTTTGGCAGTTCCATATACCCGGGGTAACCCTTCCCCATCTCTCTCTCTCTCACACATGCACACAAAAGCTTACTATATTTATTAATGTGCAATCAAAGCTCTCTACCCATTTCCTCTCCTATGCTTAGGGCAGAGGTAGACAGAAGCATTACTATTAGACCGTGCAAAAATTTCTGAAAGTAATACAGAAACCAAAATGAACTCATTTTAGGGAGAGGATAAAATAATTGCACTACAAGAAAACGTCACTGCATATTTTCTTAGGGGACTGAAAGGAATCAGGAATCAATCCTTCCCTCAAGATACTCTTAACTGCAGTAGACTGACAGGATTCGTGTTCCCGAGAGCCTATGTGTCATTTTTAAGGTAAATGACCTGCACAAAACAGACAAGCTCGTATCTCTGTAGGACAAGATTAGCTTCCAAAAAGGTGCAGAACTCTCAGGTCCTTTAGTCATGAACAGAAAACGTCAGGAATCAGAGTTTGGATACAGAGGGTTAGAAGGACCGTGGGAATTAACCACTATAGTGCAAGTCAATTAACCAATAAGCCTTCACCGGCAAAAATCTGAATAAGCCTTTACCTACTCCAAGGCTTTTTTTTGAATGGGACTATCTACCTGCTTCACAGCTATCCTGACTTGCACACTAAGATATTTGCAATGCCAGCCTCCACCAAGACACAAAGAAAGACATTCAGGCCCCTGCAAAGATGATAGCAGAAATTATACGGACTCCTACTGCTTTGCTTGGAGGCTCGGTTACTAAAGAGTGGTTTTTGGTTTTGCTTCATCTCCATTTTTAGTGCTTTTGTCCCCTTTACTATTTACATAGAGCACCACTAGTCTCAGGGTTAAACAAAAAATCCCTAATAGTGAAAGCCAGTCACTCACTCTTGAGCTTCTAGGGTCATTTTTACCAGGCTGATCTTTGCCTGTTTGCAACCCTTCCTCAATACCTACCATTACTAAAGTACTAGCAGCTTTTGTGGTGCCTAAAGACCCAAATACCATCAAAATGCCTTCATGCCTTAACAGCTGCTCTAAATGAGCTAATGGCTTGTACAGGAATAATAACATCTGTAATCACTTTCTATTATACATTATGTCCTTATGTGGCAGAGATTTGGTACAGTCCTTCAATCAAATGTCCTGGAAAGAACAACAGTTTGTTTAACAACAACAGTTTATCCACTCATTGGAGCATCTAATGCCCACTGCCTATTTGCAACGCTTAAGTATATTCCAAATGGG